AGTTGCAAATGTGGTGGTTGAGTTTGACCGTCTTTGGAGGAGCAAATGCATGTTCCTAATCTGCCCTCTCCCCTGATGGTCACATATCAGAGGGAGGTGTTTTAAAGAGGATTGGGATGTCTGCTTCTCCGTACTCAGCAGACAAGTTGCTTTTGCTGGTTGTCTGGGCTGGGAAGGGCCCCAAAACACCGTTTTCTCGTCAGGCATATAATACCTTGTTTTTCAGAGCTTGTAGTATGAATTCTGTATGCTTCCCAGCACACTTTCTTTTTTTGGCTTGTTCTTCGACCTGTAATGAATAATGTTCTTTCTAACGATGAGAGCGATTATGTCATGCATCAGGATACCCTATGGGTTGAGAATGGAAGATTTTATTTTTTTAAAAAAGTCACAAAAAGGAAGTAGGAAGTCACAATTTCAATAATGAGGACCATGATGGTGCTTTTTAGTTTGTTCAGCAGGGATTTAATTTTTGATGGAAACTGCAGCGGGGAGGATGGTAATTGATTGCCCTGTTGAGCTGAGGTTCTTGAGAAGATTAATCACTGGTGTTCTACTGACGGTGCCTTTTTCTAAGGGCTGTATGCACATGAGATCTGTTGGGCAATTTGCTTGCGTTTCCTTTTTACTGCTTTGACAGACCAATAATGGTAACTCTTACCAAACTTCAGTCTCAGTCATTGGTATGTCACGATTACAAGGGCATTATCTGGATTGCAAGTCACTCTTCAGAGTGTACATGTGGTCTTTTCTTCTGAGGTTGTCACCAGCATTGTAGTGCTGGCTGCAGCAGGTACTGACTCTCCAAACAGCTGAGATGACATAACTAGCTTGAGCAAGAAGTTCTGCAATGGATAGCTCATTTCCTTCCCTTTGTTTCACTGAGCTGTTTGAAGCTTTTTTACTGAAGCTTTCCCTGCAGTCTGGGTGACAGGAAAGACTTTTCTCCTGACATCTTTATGTTTAAATAAGCAAGTGTGTATATAAACTTGGCAGTATTCGGGTAAAGGAGGCTATGCCTTACACCTGGTTATCAAAAATTAAAGGTAGCTTGATTATTTGTGGACTCTTCCAAAGAAATGCTTGAAATGTTACTTTTCAGTATGGCTTTGCGTCAGTCTTCAAAGACTTAATACTGTTGATTTTTCCTTTGGCAGCAGCTTAGATCAGATTTAGACCTAAACCGGTTTACCTGTATAAAAACGTTAACACTTTATCTTGATGTTTGTATATGTATTTTCGCAAAGCAATTGCGCTTAATGTTGATTACCAAAAATTGACTCTAATGTTTTAGAGGGTAGCAGACCGGCTATATGGTGTCTATAAAGTCCATGGCAACTATGGAAGAGTATTCAGGTAAGAGGTCATCTATTTTATTAAATATGTACATAGGAAGAGAGGGGTGTGTGTGTATATATAGAGAGAGAGACAGAGAGGGAGAAGGGAATTTATTGGTTATGTTCTTACACTTTTGAAAATTATATCCAAAACATCTAAATGTCTGCCTTGAAAAACTTCATATTGCAGTTCTAATGAGATTTCTGTGTTGGATATCGCGATCTCTGGATCTGGCGACCTTAGTCTCAAGTGGAAGACTTTAGCTTTTTGTTTTGTGTTCCACACCTTTGGGGCATTTGTTGTTGCATTGGCATTGTGTTTCTTCAGAAAGTGACTTATTACCTATTTTCATGCATTTGTCTCTGAAAAGCTTCTGGGTACTTTTAAGGGTTAAAAATCAACAACTATATCTCTCCAGTTTTAGTACCTTTAAGTGAATTTGCCAATCCTTTTTTGATTTATATGAGTGAATTGCATGCTCAAGTTTTCCATCTCACTGGAGAATTAAAGAATCTAAACTTCTGGTTAAGGGAAACCTCCTGCTTCTACACACTGTTCAAGTGCTAAATTTAATTCTCTGGGTTAATGGATTGCAGATGTCTTTCTCATTGGGGGTTTTAAAGTGAAATTAGGTGTAGTTCTGTAATAACACAAAGACAAACAAATGTCAACATCAGCAGAGTGGAATGTTTATGAAAAAGTGAAGGACAGAATAGATGCATTAGACATAAATGATGTGAAATATAAGGGGACCCCCTCCTTTTTTTCTTGTAAAAAGAGCTGTGGATGTAGTTCTTGTAGTGAAGAAACCTCATAAGGTTTCACAAAGCTGAGAATACAATTAAAATTGCAGTGTACATACTTGGATGTCCAGAACAAGTCTCTTGCTATCTTTATTTTAGCTCTGTTTCCTTTTTTTATCTAAATGATCTCCCTAATGTGAATAGATAGTTGCAGTAATGAGGTGGGTGTAAGTTGATATTTTTTCAGTGAATAAAACTAAACAGCAGTGTATTATAACAACATAGAGCAAACGGTTTCAGGAGCAGTAAAATGCTTACAAATGTCAAATCCCACCTTCTGCTTTTTGGAATGAGAGGCTTCTATCTGTGTTGTGAGTCTGGAAAGCTTACTTTCTTCTTGATGAGCATGTTAGACCAAACTCTGTTTTAGAAAATTCCCCTTCCCTTGCCTCCCTCTGCCCTCCCCCCGGTTTCTTTTAAGTTCTGGTATCTTCTTTTTTATTTTTTTTTTTATTGAGTTGTAGCTATTTAAACAAGACTCTTTCTGTTAAAAACCAATCCCAAACAAAGTGTATTTGTGAGGATGAGTTTAGGTGGCAGGGACAATTGTTTAACAGAGTGCCATAAATAGCCTTGCCGCATTGTCAGTGTTGCTGCTTAGAGGAAGAAAACAGTTTGGCCAACTCTAACTTTGAGGCAGTTTCTACTCGGGTGTCACCTGGAAAGAAACTATATACAGGATGCAGCTTATTAACTTCCCTTACCCTTCATGTGCGATGTTGTTTCTCGTTTGTTTTTCCTACAGTGAGTGGAGTGCAATAGAAAAGGAGATGGGGGATGGGTTGCAGAGTGCTGGCCACCACATGGATGTGTAAGTACTGACTGAATATCTGATAGTTTGATGTAAGCCAGATGTAGAACTCTCCCTCTTTCCTCTCTTTTCCCTCAACCCCAAAGTACATGCGAGTAGAGGACTGAGAAAGTTGGGGGTTGTGTTGTTTTTAGGTATACAGTGTTTCTGTGACTTGGATGCAGGCACAATTTTAGCATCCATGTACTGTATTAAGTAGCTCAAAAGGTCTCAGGAGAACCAGAGGGGTTTCTTTTTTTATTATTATTTTGAAATTGTAGAAGTGTTTGGAATTCTTCCAGTTTTTCTTTTAAGCTACTATGCCAGAAACTGGTGGAATACAACTTTAATGTACTGCAGACCTGATGAGATCCATTTGGTTTTGATAGCAGCATTTTGTACCACGCAGTAGATGGTACACAGATTTGGACTTAATTACAGAAAGTTAAGAAATTTAATTAATCGGCACCAAAACTGTAGTGGATTCTTGAAACAAATGCTGACTGGATGTAATAAAGTAGAGAATCCTCCCTCTTTGCATCTTTCGAGTCAGTTGGCAGAATACACAAAACAGCCTTCAAAATAAGAGTCTAGCACTTCAGAGTGCTGACAGAAGTGGTGTTCTAGGCTCATTTCTGCTTTTCAGGTGATCATATATAGTAAGTGAAACAGTATCATTCCTCATTGCTCTGATTTTTCTTCTGTAATTGCGCGGTACAGATAAGTAACAACTCCAGCAAGAGGTGGAAGCTGTCCGATACTTCTTTGTGCGATATTTTTCTCTGTGGGAGTTATTAGTTTTAGTTTACAGTGCATATTTGCTTATGTACTACCTCCTGATTGTAATTGGTGTTATGCCTTGTCAAGTGGAAGGGTTTGAAGAACTATGCCACAGTCTGCCCTCAGCTTTTTCAGAATAATTCTGGTATTACCAGATCTAACATGGTGGCTTGCAACCAAAACCAGCTATAATATTTTTTTTAGGCAGAGGGCTTCGCTAAGAATAAAGGAATGGAGAATGCATTCTGCTTTCAGAAGACAATAATTAAAGTAGAGGTGGAATACAGCGTTAAGCACCTACTATAGTATGCAGAAATTGGAAGAGATTATGAAAACAAATAATATAGAGGAGTTACGGAGGCACAAGTAGGTTTTCAGTGCTTCAGATACGGTGCATTAAGATGTCAAACACCTAGAAATGTGTAACCAACTAAAAGTGGGTCTCACTTCCCAGTCAGCAGGCTTGAACCCTCCCAACATATCTGAGATGTTTAAGGTTTCAGTCTGTGACACAGTTAGGGTTAAAGATCCAGAGTAATGGCAGTGAGTTCCTGAGTAACTTTAGTCATTGCATGAAGTCTGAGGTAGCTTTCATTATCTGTCACTTCTGCTCTGACACTCAGGTACAACAATAATCTCTTGATGACAATCAAGCAAGAAGCAGCAGCTGTGAGATTCAGGAACTCATTCAGTGACCCATGTGGTCTCCTACCAGTAAGGATCATATCTGTGATCTCTTGAAAGTATAACTTACCAGTCCAGTTACCATTCCCATAACATTAGACAGGAGTTTATTGCAACAGAAAGCTGCTTCAAGAAGGTTGCCTAATATAGATGTTAAACTTCAAGGGTAATTTAATTATTCTCTATCTACCCCATATGCTGTAGTCTTTACTAGATGTTTATTTAAACTTTTGAGTTGTTATTGTTTAGTATGATCTAAAACTGCTTAATATTTGGAGAAGACATCCCAAAGCACCTCTGGGTGTGCATTGTATAACAGGATGAAGCTTGCTAAAGTGATAGAAAACAACAGAGTATGCTGAGAAAGCTCGAGTGAAAGGCTGTAATTCTATAATTTAAAAGATGAAAGAAAAAAATGCCTGACCTTTGACTTCTGTCTCTCATGCTATTAATGAGTGATCCTTTATATCTGTATCAACTAGACTGTCATTACAGGTGGAAAGTGTCTAAGCTAAAACGGGTTCAGTTGATGATTCCCATGAAAAGTGGGAACATATTAGGTTCCTTTACTGCAGTGTTTCTCCTTAAGATTTTCTCTGGTCTGGCTACATGCTTAGGACAAACCAGTATTTAAACTTCAGCTTAGGCAGTCGGAAATATAGCTTGTCTTACTATATTTTTTTTTTCCAAATCAAACTTAAGTGTAATTATCAAAACTCTGTCTATGTAAGCAGGGTTTTTGTTTGGTGGGTTTTTTTGGTTTGGTTTTTTGTAGAGTTGTTCTGCTGCAGATGGGCCCTAGCACTGCTCTAAACTTAGAACTTAGTTGAAACTGAAATGTGGTCCATCTGCTGCCCTGAGAAATCTAACCACTATACTAAAATTAACGCACTTCAGAACTTAAAAATAGAGAGGGTAAGCCACTTATGACCTGTGTGGCTGCAGGATTCTTTCAGAACAAGTATAGTTTTCAACAGTTTGGACTTCTTCCTTACTTTGATTCATAATGTGAATTCTTGTTCTGCCTGTTCTTTCATCCCTTCTACTTAAACTGATCTGCTGTTGCTGGTCACTTCATTGTTACGCTTATGTATCACCAATAACTTTGGTAGGGCTTTTCCTGGGTGTGCCATGTCTTTGATTTCACAGAGCATCAAAACAACTCATCTTGCTTGCAAACTTAAAGAATTCGTACTTGAACAGATGGGCATGTCTACAGCTTTTCCTCAGGCTCCACATTCTTCCAGTTATTCTGCAAGTAGCCACTCCCTCTTTGAAGAGCCTTAGTTTGCATGCCCTATTGAGCGGCCCTGAGGATGATGATAACTTTCAGGAGTGTCTCCCTTATATTCCCAGGGGCCTCAGTGACACTGTTGATTCTTTTTGAGCATGCAGGAGGGATTTCTTGTTCTTTCTCTAGTCACATTACCAGTTCCCTTTCAGTTTGATACTCTGCCTCTTCTTCCATAGAGCCAGTTACTGGAGAGGCACAGGAAGAAAGGGGAAAAACTGAGACTTTGCAAAAACTTTTAAGCCAAGAGGTGCTGTAATTAACACTTGGGTTCCATTGTGCTGGTCACTAGACAAGCATGGACCTATCACAGAATCACAGAATGGTCAGGGTTGGAAGGGACCTCTGGAGATCATCTAGTCCAACTCCCCTGCCAGAGCAGGGTCACCTACAGCAGGTTGCACAGGACGGCGTCCAGGCGGGTTTATATGTTCACTTTAGAGAACCTGCAGCTGTGCAAGGGATTGCCACGCACTTGAGAATCCAGACTGAGTCAGCAGAATAGACTTGTGATCACTTGTGAGCATTTGTGATGGGATCTCATTCATTCTGTTTATCTGCAGTGGCACAGGCTGGCTGAAGTGGCATCCTATTTCTGTCACTGTGCCAAGTAAGATGTGCAGTTACCTCTTTGCTCTAGGCCTGTCCTTGCAAGTGTGTCCAAACACAGCATCTTGGTTACTGAGAACCTATTAAATACTGTCCAATAAGCGATATAAACTAGAAAAATAAAGTGCTTTTTTGCCATTTTTAGGAGGTATCCTAAATGACAAAACTCTTACTGAGTGCAAGAGCTGTGGAGTTGGTCCAAGCCCTTGTACTTCAGATTTCTCCCTAAAAGGCAGGTTTAAACTTCTTGTTGCTCTGAATTGATATGCCTGACTTAGAGTGGGCAAAGCAACATGATTTCAAGGAGCGGAAGGACTTAATGTCACGCACACTTAATGGTCAACGCACCACTGCGAGTTCTCTCATACTCAGGCTGAATAACGAACAATGAAAGCAGGCTTTTAAATACTGCCTCTGTGCTTTTCAGAAGGTATAATGTTCATGCTCGTATGCCTTAATGCATTAAGCCTTGCAGGATTTCTTCTGCGCCATGTCTTTTTTTTTTCTTGGTGCTGCCTATTGGCAGTCTACTGAAGAAAAGGAATATCTTTTTTTTTTTTTTTTTTTTTCCCCTT